ACAGAGCCAACAACAACAACAAACACTTATAACACAAGCTATCACTGTTTTTGACATACTTTGTTCCAATAAAGCATGAGATTTATATTACACAAAACCAAACTAAAATACTAAAATATTTTACTGCAAAATTCAGAAGTACAAGATTGRSACATAATTCTTACCTGTTTTGTAGACAGTTCATCGTTCAGCTTTTCATTCTCCTTGTTTTTAGTTTCAACTTCTTGAAGCTTTTGATCATAGTTCACAGCCAATTCCTCAAGAGCTTGCAAAACTTCTTTCACCTCTGTTTTAGAAGTATCACTCTCTTTTTGGAACAAATTCATCTGAGATTGAATCTTTTCATTGTCTGCACGAGAAGCTTTAAGAGACTATAAGTGGAGAGATAAACAGTTTATAAGAAACAGGTCAATAAATACCAAAAAAACATCAATCCTCTTACCTCTTCTTGTTCTACAATTTGTTCTTTCAGCTGGTTGATTGTTTGAGATTGTGACTGGATTTCATCATCCTAATAACATAATAAACATAAATAATAAATAATAATAATAATAATAATAATAATAATAATAATAATAATAATAATAAATAAACATAAATAATTTAACGTAATAAAATTATTAGAAGAGTTATTCAAAATACTATTTTATCAACTTTTACAACTGGGTTGCATGGCTTATTTATCTATTTATTATTTATTTATTTTTGTGAGTTATGCAGAGAATACTTTACTTTCTTTCTTTACCATCCACTTGGTTTATTACATGGACATGTCAAAAAATGTAGATATATTATAAAACTCAATAATATTCATAAGGCAGAACACAATAGAAATCATAATCCATGAAGAGAGTTGCAAATCCACAAAAAGGTAACACATACCCTTTCATCAAGTTGAAGATAAAGTTTAGACATGTCTTTTTCAAATTTCTTTTTCTCTGCATTTGTCATACTTGGTCCACCACCACCTTCTGGTACAGCCAACTGTTGCATGTCAAACAGGTCACTTTTTCTATTGTCAGCTGTTTTACTTGCTTGTTCATCTATAGGGACACTTTCACCTGGTAATAAAGGCATTAAAGTGATTACACTTGACACTTTATTAAACAGTTATTTTCAGGACATGATACAGATATGTGATACAATGGATAATTAGCAAAATACAGTGATATTTGCTGGAATACAAGACATTACAAACCTCCTCTCCATCTATTCAATTCCTGGTCATATTTCTGTAACGTTGCACGAAGTTTAGCATTCTTTTCTTTTTCTTTCTCATATCTTCTTTTCCATTCTTCAGCTGTTAATTCTTCATTGATTACAACAACATTCTTAATTGTTTTGGCTCTAAAGACATCAAAAATATTTTATTAACCAATAATTATGACTTGTCATTAATCATGACATTCACCGAGAAGAGTCACTTTTTACTTCAGGACATTTTTGTTTTTATAGTCACCAAAGAATCTCACAGTTCACTACATTGCTTAATACTAAATAGAAATAACCATATATACCTTTGGCCAAACATCAAAGTTGATCTTGTCTCTGCATCATTGAATGATGAAGGAGAACAACAAATAATGATAGTAGTTCTGGCATTTCCACCTAAAATAAAACAAAGTTCAATGTCTTTTACAGTTAAAACCTGGGTGAACAAATACCACTTTATTTATTTGCACTATATATTGTTACAACATGTCCATGTTTGTAGAAATATTCAGTATATTGCTTTTAGCTATTGTTTAGCTAGAATTTAACCTCAAATAATCAATCGATGCCAAATATACTATAATGGCATCATTAATAAAAACTTTRCATTTTACCTAAACTTTCCTGCAAYATTCTTGTCATTTTACTYTCTCTGTATGGAACGTGAGATTTCTGAAAATAGTCAAAACAAATCAAATGTTAGTGACAACATGTATCATTAACCTAATTACTTCAAGGTTTATTCTGAAGTTCAACATAAAGAATAATGACAATATCCTGAATACATACTGTCCCCTCAGCCAGGGCTGATATAACATTTCCAAGTGCTGACAATGATTTATTGATGTTTTTGGCTTCATCTAAAACTGAGCCTTCTGCATGTGTCTTGCTGACCTGATGATAGTATGATTAGGGGACAAATTCAGCATGATAAACATGGCATGATATAAACATACATACAAAGAGATCAGTTGGCAATAACCTCCTTCATTACTATGCAATCTTGAATGGAAACTGTGCCTTTGCATCAAAGTAAGATGACCAGTAAGCTTGCAATGATAGATACTAGTGAATAATCTTGTCTCAAAGCAGTTTGTTGTGGAAAAGTCTTCTATCATATTTGCCCTTTTACCAGTCATCACAGAGTCAAAGCAAAGACACATTCGCCATTCAATATGGCACAGTGAACAGAGAAGAAGGTAAGATAARCCCAAAAGTACCTTTTCAGAGCCAGCAAGATCAACTAAATATAGCTTTCCACTTAATTTTTTATTGGTTTCCACATTCTCTTGTTTTATGTGTAAGAGGAATATGCTATGACTCCTTGAGCTGTGTTCATTCATATCTATGAAAGTAACAGTAAACTATATATATTTCCTAAGTAGRAAAGCCGATATAATAAAGTTCTTCATGTTAGGACAAAATGAAATGGTGAGAAGATTAGCCAAACATAGACAGAGAAGACTTGTATTGACATACTGCAAGGCAATGAAAACTTCCTTTCATCATTCACACATTTATTTAACTGATCAAACTGAAATTTTGATGGATGTTATCAATAATATTATTGACTGCTCTTATTTTTTGGTCTGGACTATGAGCCTGCAGATTTACAGGACTTAGCATCTATCAAGGAGTTTGTCATATTTGCTTACTTGTTACAGCGACATGTCTATTAGCTTTGCCCTCATCAATGATTTCCATCACTTCCTCTGGACTGGAAACAAATCGCTCTGTTGCACCCTAAAAAAAGTCAAAAATCAAGCATGAATATTATTGAAATGGTAAGATTAAATAGTTTTAGATWTTCCTAAAGGAGGTACATGTACATGCAAATTTGTTATATGGATATTTGTCATACCTTGACAAATGGAACTCTGTTTTTATCTTCATGAACAGCCAGGTTTGTCTTGGTAACTACGCAATTTCATGAAAAAGAAAGAAAATATTAATCTACATGTAATTGATATTTCATTAAAGTGAATTGTTGGAATGCAAACACTAAATCTGCGAAACTGCTTGTTCACGGACATAAAACATGCACTTGATTTGATCGTGTTCAGGTAATATTATGTGAAATAAATAAATAAATCAACTTTGTTTTTTTGTGAAACAAGTGCCAATAAGTTGTGCTTACCATCCAATAGATCTCTGATTTTATCCAAATAAATTTCAAAATATGAAACCTAAAATACACAAATAGAAACTCATTAAAAGATTAATACATGTACAAATGAAATCCTAATTATCACAAGTTAGGCTGAACACATCACACACTAAGTTCTTCACATTTTAGCCAATATGATCTTGGTTTATCACAACTAGGCATTCTGATTCACATCAGAATGATCAGAGTCTAGACCCTACCTCAAGTAAACTACTTATCATCCATACTGTAAAACYAACCACTCTATATTCTCCTCACAAATGAACACACCATTTAATTACAACAATAAACTTGTACCTTAATATGAAATTCTAGATTCTCATCCATGTTGTAGATGTGGTTAAATATATCTTGTACAATTCTGGGTATTATACCCTGATTTCTTTGGTCACCAATAACACCCTACCAAAAAAGAATATACATACCATGTTTTTAAGGAACTTATTGGACACTACTTTGAGCATTGAATGGAAAGATTCTCTTCATCTCTTCTGATGAATTTCAAATGCACAGGTGATATTAGCACTTCAAAATAGATCTAACTTTGTCATTTTCTGTACCTCCATAGTATGTGTTTTTCCACTTGACGTCTGACCATAAGCAAAAATGGTACCATTGTATCCATTAAGTACATCTGATAAAAAAAATTACAAATGCAACATTTTAATATTGTGTTTTCAATAATACAGTATGTAAGAAAGAATGTGAGTCATTTCTGACACAAGTAGCCATTTTTGCCACTATTAAAAAATGCACAGGAAGTTTGGCATATCATGAATACTGTATAGCCCTTAATTTAGACTAATTGTACATATTCAGAGAATCATAAGATGGCAATCAAGTGATGCTTTTCTTCAAGAGATACCATAAACAATGTGGATGTTTAGTTAAAATATCAAATTCAGAGTTTTTTTCTACATTTGATCCAAAGTTTAATTACAAACCATGTATATGCCACATCTATTATTAAAAAATCCTTTTATTTAATTATGTCTGGTATCAAGCATGGCAGGGGTTGGTCTCTATCACAGCTGTGACTTCCCATTTTGTAAAAATMCCTCCTCGTAGTGACCCACAAAAAGGGGGGAGTTCAAAAGAGAGTAGATTGTGCAAATAAAAAATACACAAATCTAAGTGACTCTTGGTTCTTCTCCTCTTTTTCAATATTTGATAAATGAATTAAATTTCTATTCATTTTAAAACATGAAGTAGAAACTAAAGTGAGCATCAAGCATACTTTGAGKTCTATTGTACAATGCTTTTAAACCAATCAGTGGATCTGTTATTTAAAGATTATAGTCTATGACCTGAATAGTAATACACTATTATCATGTCCTTTTACATTGCTGTTGAATTGGTTTTTAATAAGGCTTTGTCTGTGCATATAGAAGTGGTTTCATTTTACCAAAGGTCAATGTGAATTTTATTTAAAAAAATGTCTAAAATATTCACTAAGAATAATGGTAAATCAACAAAAACTACCGGTATTATACACATATCAGATTTTAGCAATACTTGTGATTTGAATTGATTTGAAAACAGTTGATGAGATAGTCATGGTTATAAGGAAATCCCCTCAAATGAGTTCACAGTTATATAAAACATACATGTACCCCACAAGAATGAAAACTAAAAACTTAGAATCGTCATAAATGCATATATTTATAAACAAATAAGTCATCTTCAAAGACAAATTAACAGCAAAATTGTCAATGTCTCATAACAAACCACTAGAACCTTCAGTATTTACGTGTGGTAAAATATGCACACTTAACAATGTCAAGGTTTTAAACTAATGTTTATGCATATTATGTGCGGGTGTGATGACCTTATTAAGATATAATCGTAAAATACACACAGGGATTGAGTTACATCATAAAAGCTTAGTTCACATGCAATTGAATGAACTTTGGATAATACCAGTGTTCAATCTCATCATTCTGTACTTAAATCACTTTATTTAAAATGATGGTTTCTGTTTGTGTTTACAAAGACTGTTGTTACCTCTTAATGTTAATTTAACATACTATTTTTTGTGCAAAATTAATACTTACACAATATCTGAGATCAGATTTTGATTCAGTCAAAGAATGTTCTCAGCTCAAATCTGGATTAATTTCAATTTTGAGGGTGCAAGGATTTTTTTTGCATAAATAGCCAAGGTTTCCAACTCTATTGAAATTTTATGCATTCAAGCAATGTTATTTGTTTAAAAAATGGACAAGAAATATTAGATATATTTATAGATATATAACAATTAGACTACTAGGTTTTCTTTATAGCTGTATAATTAAATTACAGGCAGTAAATTGCAAATAAGATTTTCAATTTTTCATACAAAACAACAACACAGGGATAATGGCCAATATAAAGGAAGGCAAAAAAAACACAAAAGCTTTATCCAGCAGGATCTCTGACTTTATAATTACCTTTATAATTGCCTAGTGTATTATAACATTTGGTAGCTGGTGACAATAATGATAAAATTGTGCTTTGTAATGACATATTCGACCGTAAAAACTAGTAATTTCATTCAAATACTAAATCTTATAACTTGAGTAATAGGTCACGCTTTAAAATCAAAACAAAAACTTATCAATATAGAGACCTCTTGTAAATCAGTTTATGAGTTAGTGCACTACATGTTTTTTGAAATTAGAGCTGTACCATTATAATGGCTCAATAGGAACCCCTTTTAAGTAATTGTAAAATGTGTATTTCTTGGGGAGAAGTGCATTAGGTAARGTTGGGTGAATACAAAACATCAAAATTTTTTGCACCATTCAAATTGTAAAAAAAAGGATTCCTACAATTTGTACATTTCTGGCAAACTTAAATTGAGACTGGTTAACCTCAATAGACTTCATGTCAAGAATGATTGCATATATTTTGTTTTCAGTGGTTTTATAATATATTTATGGAATTACAAAGACCAAGATATATTGCTCACTGACATGAGTGGATCCTGCGCCATGTTGCAGAACTGTTCAAAATCTTTTCCTACTTCAAAAATGAAAATTAAAGTCCCTATTTTTGACAGAGAATGTTAAATTATGAAGTGAGAAGCATAGCACATCTCATGCAAATTATAATTCTTGTTTGCTCAGTGTGTAAGTTTAAGTCCAAATATAAATAAACTTAATAATTATAATATTTTTAATTTTTAGGAAAAATTGTTCTCATTTTCCCTACTAATAGCTAGAATTTTGACATATAATCTTGTGAGTATTAGAGAATTTTAAATAAGTCACACTATTGAATTAAAATAAATAAATAATAAAGACAAAGCTACAGAGAAAGGTGACCTGTTAGAACAATGTATTTACGGACCTCAGAACAAGGATGAAATGTAACATGGGGCTTGATTTTTTTATTCGTCTTGTAGATTTCAGCTATAATTATTTGAATAGTTCCTTAGAAAGAGCTGCTTAAAAATCATAAATACTTCAATAAAAAGATAACATTACCAGTGGTTCAGAAATCTTCAGGCTAATGTATTCATCTGTACAACCAGACAAGCAATTGAATAACTAAAACGCGATTTTTTTTGAAGGTTTTAAGACGATGACAACATTTGAACAAGTCTTGGAGAAATAGCGCCGTACTCAACACATACAAGACCAAAAAAATTAATAAATTAAATGAAAGAAATGCAGATCTCTGTCTTCATCGATTTTTGAATACAAATCCAATCAAAATCTTTCGAAAATGAATTTTTTTTCGTTCTTATTCAATGACAACGCATCCGAGCAAAATAATCTGTACTCTGCGTCAAAATTGGACACTTATGTGGCTCGAAAACTCCAAGTCGAAAAACAGATTTTAGTGAATGGTCACAGATCGATATTAATGTGCATTGGAATCCGTCAACTACTCTATACATCACAGGAAATCCACCGTATAACGTAATTACAATAAGGATTTCGTGGCAAAAGCTTACCTCGAACAATTTCTTGGGCCGCTTCTCCATAAACTTTTTCTTGAGTGGATGTGGGCTTGAACACTCGATCAAATGTATACGTACGACCCTATGATATACAAGCACATACACAAGCACTTATTAGTCAAATACAAAGAAAAACTCACAAAAAATACGAATTTGCCTCATTGAAATGGTATTTACCGCATGTATTACAGTCTCTGGAGTCGGGAACTTCACGATCATTTCTCCCCCGGCTCTTGTTTCAGCTTCTGACTGAGGTCGAAAACGACTAAATACCTTAATGGTACACTCAGTAGGGTCTGGTTGCTGTTGTTGCACCTTATCAGCCATGTTTTAATAGTCAAATATGCCAGCCAAAGTAGAATGAATTGTCCAAATCGAGAAATGTACGTCGGAGTTCTCCACTACATCGCCTTCCAAAATCTACGTAGGTTTCAATTCCATTCGCTTTAATTCGTGATCAGAATTGCATTTTCTTCTTCCTAAATGTTTATCTTTAACCTGGATTTTTCTTATAATGATTTTTGGTTAACGGGAGTTAGTTTTTGGCCATTTTTTTCGTCAACGGAGGCAAGATCTTTACATCACGTTGGGCTCCCAGTCGGCCATTATCCACCGCCTAACCTCAAAGCATCATGGGTAGGAATGCTGGCAACGTAGCATTTCGCAAAAGAACCTGCCAATCAAAAATAATCAAATAAATATCAACAAGTAAACAAAACACCAACAAAATGCACTTTTTAGGGTAGTGCCAGTATCGTACTATATTAAGGATTTATTAGTGCGTAAATATTATAATAGTATAGCCTAGACTTTTGATATATTGCTGTCGTCATCAAGCAAAGAGTCACACCAAGTGATGCATGGCTACCGAATCCAGCAATTACCATATGTAGAAGGAGTGGTAATATCAAGTTATCGTCGCTTTGAATCTATTTAAAAGTCATAAATTAGAAAGCAATAACAAATGCATTGTTTTCTTGAAAACGTAGATCAAATCCACTTCCGCTTAGTTCAGACGTCGATCTTTGCGGCAACTATTGCTTGAATTAGTTCAAGAAAAGTTTACAGACTAAATCGAGTTTAACCAACAAACTTCACAAATGTCAGTGAATACAGAAAGCGAACTTCTCATAAACGACAAAGGATCGACGCCTGAACTAACTTGATTGTAAAAGTGAGACTTGAAAAATATAATGAAATACAATAAAAAACGAATCCCGCCAAAAAAGAATTTATAAGATAAGAATGATAAGAACAATAAAAAGAAAAAGAAAAAAAGGATAGAAATCTAATGTAAAATGTAAACCCAAAGAGAACTCGGTACCGCTCAATCCTGCGTCCTGATCCTGGAGTCCTTGGATTGAAGAACAGCGCCTTAACGAGGTGCGCCACTGGACCATGCTCATTTACATAATAATAGACCACTTGACACTTTCGCCGAATAGACTATCCCAATTTGACATTATARTTTCGATAGTTGCCTAGTTAGTGCAAGGGGTTATCCATCAGAGTCTAGGGGCCGGATAGCTTCTCCCTCACTGGCTTTTTAGTTAGCGCGAAGTTAGGACCAATTATCGGGATAGCATGGAAGAGCCGAAATCTCTAACCGGAATGTAAATCGATTCGACGCCTCAGCTTCACAGAATGTCTCGGGGGAATCGTCCCAATATTTTTCGATTTTATGGTCAAGGGTTCGAGTCCCAGCACGGACATGCTCTTCGTCTCCGTCTTCTCCTTCTTTTTCATTATTTTCTTTTTCCTTTCCTTTGCTTTTCAATACGGAATATCCAGTCACTGCAAAACTCGTTTGATATTTTTAGTGCCTCGTCGATGGTCATCAACTGCAAAATGCTCACATTTTGTCACTTGGGCTTTTCGAAATATCCACAGTMGCAGATCAAGAACGCTTTACGAAGGAGGAAAAGACAGGAAAGATATTTAAATGGTTTATAGGGCGGAGGAAAACTTTATATCATTCAGGTGGCTAGCCACCCTCAGGTGTATATCCAGGGAGGGAGGCACAGGGTGCCCTTGACTCCCCTTTCAAAGCCAAAAAAATGAAAACCATGTTACGTCACAGTGACAATTTGGTTTATAGGGACCTCCCCCCCCCCCCCCCCCCCCCCCCCCCCAACAAAATTCCTGGATACGGCAATGACCCTCCATATCATTTGTACTAAATCTCTTGTCAGCCTTGAATGACCACCCCTTACCATTTGACAATGCGTTTCAGAACCTCAGGTGGGTACAATTTATCAGTTGTTGATTTGCATAAGTAAGAATTCATGCTGTCTTAGTTTAAGGTACCAGATGTTTGTGAGTGTAAGGTCAGTAGGCAGCAAAAAATACTGTGAAAGGGATGAGTGTTGGATCCAGCTGCTGAATGCAGGGAGTGACCAATATCAGCCTGCGGGGTGGACTCCCAGCTGTCATGATTGTCAATTATATAGATTTGAAAACAGTGATCTGCACAGGGTGGCAACGGCAAGTGTATTCCCTGTTTGGGTGACTTGCAACCCTCTCCCCTCCCCAAAAAAAAATCCATCCCTGTGACGAATTACTAAAAAACTGAATTCCAACAAAAATCTTTAATAAAAGAACAACTTTAATTTCCAGTACAAAAAAAAATCACTTCATTCCATATTTTCCCTTCAGCTCTTCAACTTTTGCAATATACTTCTGTTCAGCATCTTCCTTGCTTATTCCTGGGAAATACAAAAAAAGCATTTGTCATTAAAGATTGGCAATTCATTCTTCTTGGAGGATAGGCAGAAGAGAAATGGTATGTAGTACTATTATATTAAAGGCATCTTATACATCTAAATATCCATACCTTTCTTRCCATCCCATGCATCCCATTTCGCTTTTCCAGTGAAATCAATCATTCCTGGTCGAGCTGTAAATTCACAAATATATTAAAATATATAATCATAGGAATACTTGTTGCATAGTTGCACATACAYGAAACTTTGTGGTGTATGCAAGATGGTAGTTCTCTTTCCATTATTTGTCCATTCTTGGACAAATACTGATATACGCTGATACTTTAGATAATTTAAGAGTCTCACAATGGAAAAGACAAACTTCTCAAAGCAAGTACAACAAGAAAGACCTCCGAAAAATGTTCATTTGCTAGACAAACCAAGCTAAGAGGAAAACAAACATATCTTGGTTAAGAAAACATCAAAACTTCAAGTGTTGTTATGATTTCAAAATTTGATTAGTTGAGAACAGACAGATTGGTATTCAAGGATACATTGTAATCCGATTCAAAATGGCAGGCTTGTGATAATGGTCTATGAAAGTATCCCCCCTTCCCCCGTTGACGAAGCCCAATTCACAGTATTCCATGCCGAGTTTCAGAAAGCACTATATAACAAAGCATTGAAATGAGGRACCAAGCACTGATCTGATCACACATCATTTCTTATGTACTTAGTTCACCTTTGTGCCTCAGTGCAGTGTTTTGTTTGAAGTCACTGAGCCTGGGCATAGAAAGATGTGGATGATTATCAGACAGTAGTCCATTGCTTATGGGTAGGATGTTGCAATGTAAATAATTCATGATCACTCCATAAAAGAATGAGAAAAAATATTTTTAATTAAACTATTAAAAAACCTTACACAATCTAAAGTGATGTGAAAAAATTATAATCAGTCAGCAAAATTGATGTTGTGATCGTCCACCAATTAGCTGTTCACATTGTGCAACATTGCATAATTAATTTATCATACATACGACTCWGAATAAAACAATCAATTGAAAAATTTAACCATTTTAATGGTTTAAAAACAACGTGATGATTGCAAGTACGTTTTTTATACTAACCAGTGTTGCAGTCGCCTACGGTAGCTTGCTTATAAAGAGCATAGACTTCCAACATCTCTTCATCTGTTGGTTTGGCGTTCAAGTTCTTGACCTCAGCAGCGGCGGTTTCAAATGCCTGCAAATAAACCGACTTCTTGAAAAKTTCTAACACAAGCATGATCCTATAGTAAAATAGTCACTTACTGCAGACATTTTGTCTAGATCTATAAGTTAGTGCTAAAAATATTCAAAACTTCAAACAAAGACTGTGGGTGTGCGTCTTGATCGTTGTTACTTGTTACCCAACGAATGATACCGCTGGATGCAATAAATGACGTGTCGTAAAACACAGGTAGCCCAGTTCAATTRAATTCAATTTTTAACTGTTTTTTTCAGTAAATTCTTTTTGGTAAAATTATCCGAAAAGTTACTCAAAATGTAGTTTTTTCTTTTAGAAAACAATATGCAAGAATATTCTGTCATTGCTATGGGCTCCTGGATTGAGTTATTTCTTTCCAAACGCAAAGAAAGTAATCAAATGTACATTTTGAATATCCTCTTTTTTTGGTGATTCATTAAAAAACTATTATTCGATTAAATGGCAATAATTGTCAAATCTATTCGCAAAAAAACACCAGAATGATGGGATCACTGTGTRGGCATTCCCAGTGAACTTTGCGAATGCGAAAATAGCGAGGTTACCTCTCCAGAAAGTTTGGCGTGAATTTTTAGAATTCACTTTATGTTAGTGAAAAAAATGGAACAAAATATAGGAACTCTTGTTTTCTTTTGACATTTCATTAACCCTCTTATATGCAACTATGGTGAAAGATGTCATTAAAGCCTCGAGTTGTGGATTTCGATGTAACTTGGAGCAAGATTTTGGAGACAATTAAAGCGGTACTGACATTGGACAAAATTCCAAGGCCTGTTTGGAATGACAGGTTTTCGTATCCTTTTCTGTATGCGAGTATTGAAGGTTGTCTTCATCATATAATGTTTTGATGGTTCACAGTTGGTACATGCCATTGATATTTATTGTTTCATAATACGATGTCACATTTATTTTGTATAAAGTAAATCCTTAAGAATGTTATTCTACATTTTGAGGAACTCGACTGACCATAACACATTTATAAGCACAAAATATGACTCAACCGAAAAGTATCTAAACACAACGCGGAACTACTTATAATACTTTCTGTATTTATCAGGTATAAAGAAAACCTCTTTGAATTTTTCAATAAAGCAACTAGAGTAATTCATATCTTAGTGAATATTCAGGCTTGTCTGCTTGCTATCATTTTAGTTAATCATTAACTTTATTTCTAACTTTTTTGTCTCTACCATAAGCACAGTACAAACAATACAATGAACAATATTTGTCAGATGTMCCAGTAAAAGTAAATTTGTTCTTTTGGTATAAAACATGTCGGTATATTTGAAATGAATGTATGCCTATGAAGCCTTTRATGAGCAGATTATGTTGTGTTTGGTTTCAGTACCTGTTGATGTTATATTTTATTAGGTGAATAATAGATTGGAACATTTCCATTGCAAGTGGCAAAAAAATTGCCCAATTAAGGGAATATTATGCAGAATCCATCTAACATATGGAAATTACACACTCTGAAAATCTTTTATGCAGAGCGTCTGAGCTTTTTTAATAACAATCTAAAAATTTTCACTAAACTCATTCAATTTGATACATGATAATAGCATTAACTTGTGGGGTTTTTTTTTTGCTATTAACAGTACCCGGAAACTGTTAAATCCAATTTATAATGAATTTGTTTAATATTTGTAAGCTATATGCATGCTTCACACTAAATACTACATATTAAGATAAAGAAGATGAGATATGTGATTGTAAGATATTAGTACATACAAATGGCCTGTATTTCTGTATTTCCTTAACGTATTCTCTCATAGTGATGTCTATGCATTATGTGTGGCTTTTCCAGAACCTTTAGGAGAAAGATTATATAGTGAAGTAAAATGCTTCCTAGAAGAACATGTTAAAAAGCTTTACCAAGTAAGAAATGCTAGTATTTAATCTMTACTTTTTAAGTCTTCTAGCAGTTTATAGTTTCCACTTGTCAAGCTAGAGCTAATGCAGAATTATTCTGATAATAATATTTATTAATTACTAGACTGTCAGTGCTCCGAATGTTGACATTCTTAGAGAGTACCATCACCACTGGACACAGTATAGTCAGGGGTCAATGTATATGAATCTTCTGTTTGGGTAAGCATGACTTTCAAAGTTACTTTATATCCAAATGATTTATTTTCAGGAGGCAGCATGGGCATGTGGTCATGGTTGGTAGTAGGTTCAAGTATTTGCATGGCATATATGTTCTACAATTAATATTAACTGGGTTTATAATTACTCATATATAGTTATATGGGGTTATCGGAGAGAAAAGACAACCTGAYCATAGAAACCATATGGCACATTACGGTGCATTCCTTAAGTGATTTTCATTTCTTCCATTCCAATTAATTGATGTTTTGTTTGCTATCAGCTACCTGAATCAACATCTAAAGAAACAAAAGCAGGACTTTGTTGAAATTTCTCCCTATACAGTGGTYCCATTCAATCATGAAGCCATAAATATTGGACCTGTAAGTACATGGGACACCATTATCTAATATTTGAATCAACTTCTTGTTTTATCTGAAAGTTTGTTTGAAAGTGTCTGTACAAAAGTAAAAGAGAGATAATATGATTAAGGCTAAATGTTTAATATTTSTCTTTATAGCTTGCTCTTAACATATGGAAGTCCATCATGATAGAAACATTAAAAGATAATATTGTGCAGCATTTGCTTMCAGAAATTAAAAAGTAAGTTGATCTTTGTTCTTGTATCTTTATTATTTGACTCAAAAAGGTATTCATAGCAACTAGGTGTCCCGGAAAAGATTCTACCTTCAAATAGTGAGATATCTTACCTGGCAACTTCCACATTTTATGTAGTTATGTAATGGATTTTTTAATTTATTAGTTGCTTATAATTTATAGGGACAGAGATGGAGAGGGGACCAACCAGAATATAGTCCATGATACCATTAAATCATTTGGTAAGCRTGGGTTTTATCACAAGACCACAAAATCTTTACAAATTATCAAACTTCAGAGAATTTTTGATCATCTGAAATWAAAAATGATGTAATCATTGTTATACATGTACATGTAATGCTAAAACACTACATAAAACACTTCTTTCATATGGAAGAAGTCGGGTAGTGCATTTATATAATGCATGTACTCCARCTTCCATTATGATGAGCTAAAATATAGAAGCTAGTGTATTATAGGGAAGTAGGATTACAGGCAAATATTCTAGTTTCTAGTAGATATACATAACACTGCACAAAAGGTATTGACTTCAGATTCTACCTGTAACTGATGCATTTTTGTTTTGTTTTTTTGTTTATTTTAAAGTTGGTGTCCAAGAGTATCAGACAAAAGGAACTACAAGTGTAAGTTTGCTATTGGGGAATAAATAATCTTGAATGCTATCTTTCAAAATGGTTTTCAAGTTAATTGTGTCATTTTTTTACTAGCTTTACGAAAGAGTTTTTGAAAGAGAAATGTTGAAAGAAACAGGAGAATATTACAGGAGAGAAGCAGCTGACCTGATGGCAGAGAATGCATGCTCACTGTATATCCAAAAGGTGTGAATGATATTTCAGTTAATTTATAAACCTGTAATCAGTGTAAKTGTTTCTTGTTCACTTTTTAACTACATTCAAAAAATTACAATTGTTTTTGTTTTGTTTAAAAGGTGGACTTGCGAATACAAGAGGAAGATTTAAGAGTGAGAAAATTTCTTCACCCTACATCTTACAGTAAAGTGATTCGTGAATGTGAAGGCAAAATGGTGGAGGATTACATTCCTTATTTACAAGCTGAATGTCGGCAAATGGTCAGAGAGGAGAGAACCACTGGTAAAARAATATTTATCTTGTATTAAATTATTTATTTATTTATTGGTCAATAAAAAAGTCTTTTTGCTTATACATAAATTTCAATTATTTTGATTAGATTTGTCAAGAATGTACAAATTATTGAAGCACATCCCTACRGGTCTCCGTGTTATGGTAACYGAATTAGAGCAACATGTTACTGAAACAGGTAAAACCACTGTCCACACTTGTTCATGYATATKATTCTGCTCATGACATTGCTRTGCTTGTATTTCTACAGGACTTGGTAAAATAAAGTCTGTTAACTTTGAAAGTGTAAGAACAAAACCTTTTATTTATAAATGATATTTCTGAAAACTTAAAAAGCTTTYCAAGAGAGAATGTAGTCTAATATGTAAACTGAGATAATACACATAACTCTATTCAACAATGGGCAACCTCAAAAATACCACAGCAATTCCCATTATTTCTGTCCTCAATGATAGTTTTATTATTTATTTATTTAAAATATTTAGTTTTTGTAATTTTCTCTTTACAGGGACCATTTCAATACGTTGATGTAATGCTAGATATTCATAGTAAATTTACTAGTTTGATTAACTCTACATTTCAAGGAGATTCTGCTTTTCATGCAGCACTAGATAAGGTGAGGCTTATCAGCAATAAACTCTGAATGTATTATAATCTTAACTGCTACGTGTACATGTATTATGCAGCAAGTGTTGTCTTGGTTTATTTTTCAAATGTAGTTGTCTCAGTGAGTCAGATTTTATTTTACAAACATGTGAAATCAGCTTTAAAAAAATATTCAAACCATTAAAGTAGCTGACTTTCTGCACATGAAGGCAGACTGATACCTGACTACAATCCATAATGGTTTACAAGGTTTGCAAAAGCTATAAAACCAAATTTAAACTCAAGTTATTAATAATATTCCTTTCTTCCAAGGCTTGTACCACAGTTATCAATTATAGACATGACTCCAGGAGACCATCAAAGTCACCTGAATTAGTAAGTCACTGATATCACCAGATACTTGTTTTATTATGAACCGATCCGAACAATAATATACCCGATAATAAACAAGCAATAGATACTACTTGAAACAATAAAACAAAACCTGACCTAAAAATATAAGCTCAGTACTAAGGGAGCAATTAAAAAGCAAGTTTCAATGGAAAACTTGATAACACATARCTATGCCTACATTAATTTTCTTGTTGAAACCTAATAATATTTTTATCAATAATTATTAATTCTGTTTTTGTGTCCTTTAGTTAGCCAAATACTGTGACTCAGTCCTCAAGAAGAGCACAAAGAACTTGTGTGATTCAGAATTAGAAGAGAAATTAAGTCAAGTGGTGGGTATCTGTCAATGGACAATTTAACCAGAATTCCAATAAAATATTAAATGTGGTTAGTGGTTGAGTACAAACAGTAAAATGTGCAATGTAAATACCACTAAAAAAACTGTATTATACACCATATTGTTCAAAATCTGACATTTTATAATATGTTTTTTTGATTCTAGATAATTARCTTCAAATACATAGATGACAAAGATATATTTCAGAAGGTAATTGCACCAGTTACATGGAGAAGACTATAATATTCATATTGTCTTTGAATATCAAAGTTATTCAGGTTATGACTGTGAAAAAGAAGACAATAATTAATTTAAAATTATTATTCTATTGGCTATAAAGTTAACTGGAATTGCAATCTTATTTATTTTTCTTTCTCTAGTTTTATTCTAAAATGTTGGCAAAAAGATTGATTCACAATTTGTCAGTCTCCATGGATGCTGAAGAAGCCATGATTAGCAGATTGAAGGTAAAATTGATGACACACTAGTAGACATATAAAATTAGTATCCAATCAGCCAAGTAAGGCCTCATGAACTATAACATAATCTAATCACCCTCGCGGTCTAATTGTTTAATTATAGAATAATTTAGAATTTCTGGGTGCAGTTCATTATAGATGGATTTGTATCTTGTAGCATGCATGTGGGTACGAGTACACCAACAGGCTGCACAGGATGTTTACCGACATGAGTATCAGTTCAGACCTGAACTCTAGCTTCAGTGATTACTTATCTAATCTAAATGTTGACCTCGGAATCAGCTTTTCGTTGTTGGTGTTACAGGTAAGTCATGTTTATTTATGATTATTATGATGATAATTATAAGTGGTTTCCCTTTAATCTTGCATTATTTTGATGTGTCTTTTGCTCTTTTATTCTATCATAGTCTGGTGCTTGGCCTCTTGGTCAGACATCAGTTTCACCCATTGCGATTCCAGAAGAGTTGATCAGATCAGTCCAAATGGTAAGAACATAAGCTATCATGTTAGCATGGGATCAAAATAAGTGGGAAATTAATGGAAAGGGGATGGTTGCCTACTTAAGAAGGAATCTAGGATACACCTTCAAACACATTTATTTATTAGAATATTACAATCTCTATGACAATAAAATTTATTATGTCTCTTTGTATAGTTCGAACAATTTTATAATGGTAGATTCAATGGTCGTAAGCTCACATGGTTACAGCATTTATCAAATGGTAAGAGGAACCTCTACATTGAAAAAGCTACAGCTTCTGTTATAGGAAAGAGTGGCACTAATTCTTGTTGTTGTTGTCGTTGTTGATCTTGTTGGTGTTACATTTTACATGTAACTGTAGTAAAAAAAACTGTTAAAAAGCTGTTAAATCTAATCCTATTTTGTAGGTGAAATAAAAGTTAACGATTTCAAACGACCTCTAATATTGACTGTTTCAACATATCAAATGGTAGTACTGCTTCTCTTTAATCACCGAACTATTATTACATACAGGTACGGGTTTATCTATTGTATATAATTAACTGACGCAATCCTTACGTGGCAGTTGTATTTGTACAAACATCACATAAAAATTAGCCTGTGTTACATACGATTTATATCGAATAGAAATTCCAGATGTAACACAGGCTACATAAAAATATACAAATTAAAATGATATACACTGCACCAAAATTTACTGTTTTTAAGTTGATTTTGTTTCTGATTTATAGTGAAATTGAAGCTCAAACCCAGCTTATTGACAAAGAACTTATAAGAATTATACAATCTCTACTTGATGTCAAGTTGCTTGGAAAGTCAGAGGTATTTAATATGTCATCATTAGCTAGTGAATGCATCATCACTACAGGGCATAGGCTACCCAACTATTGCTTGAGAGAAAGAAAAGAATGAATGCGCACGCTTTTACACTCTAGTATTGGCGCGCGCTCTTAGTGAAATGCGGATTACCTGTGGTATGTGACAGACTAGTTTGTATCCCGCAAGGCGCGGGATCGTGACGTAAAGTAAACCGCAGCGCGCGACAATTCGATAACATACCCACGAGGCAAGGGATCAATGGCGTAATACCACAGGAAACCCACATCGCGCGCCAATGCGATAAGATAATATAAGCGTGCGCATTCATTATTTTCTTTCTCTCAAGCAATAGTTGGGTAGCCTATGTACAGGGTTGAAAATAGGTTGCATCGCCAAAGCTAAGAACCGATGTAAGACCAAAGGGGTGGCAATGCTTTTTCCGGATCTTTCCGGGTTTTCCTCCCTCAGTAAAAACGAAACATTTCTATCTGCTGTGCTCCGCGTTCAGTCGTTCGTTGCTATGTAAAGGAAGCACCTAGCCGGCAGCACGCCTATGTGTAAGTGTCTGTAAAAAAAGTGTCTGTAATATAGCACTTCGACTTGAGAGCGTGTCGAGCTGCATCTTTCGCAATTCAGCACCCATGCTGCCATGAAGGACGATTAGCACCCAACACCTTTTCCTTTTCCCCTTTCAATGCATACAACGTACAGGAAATGAAACTTTTATACAATATGTACACATATGATACTGGTATGTCTCTTCATGTATGTTGGTGATGAATTTGTAAATTGTTTTCTAGGGTGAAGATTTGAATAACTGTTCATTTTGGATAAACACAAATTTTACAAGTAAACGGACAAAGTTGAAGATTACTTCTGCTGTGCAGAGAGAAGCACCTCAGGTTTGGACAAAACTAGCTATGTAATCAGATCAGTTTTCCATCCATGCAACAGTCTTTTCCATGACAAATAACAGTTAATTCTTCAGCAAAGTGTTTTGTTTTGTGTCTGTTTCCCCTTAATCTGCTCATTCATTTATTCATATAACCATTTATTCTTCCGTGCATGCATGAAAATAAATGACAATTAATTATTTTCTATCTAGGAATCAGAACAAACTTTAGTTTCAGTTGATGAGGATAGAAAGATGTATCTGCAGGTTTGTTGAAATGATTTCTATTCAGCCTTCTTCAGCCCTCTGTGTGACTATATTTAATAAGTGTTATGCTGTTTCATTGTAGGCTGCAATTGTTAGGATAATGAAGTCGAGGAAAGTTTTGAAACATAACTCATTAATGCAAGAGGTAATTTTACCWAGTAAATGTCTTTAAAGTGTTGCTTTGCTTTCCTTATTTCTTAATCATTGTGTATTGTTTTCATTAGGTTATTAGCCAGTCTAAGGCACGGTTTACTCCAAATATTCCAATGATTAAGGTAAAAACATTTGTCTTTCAATTATCCATTATTGATCTGTAATAATATAAATTTACAGAGCATAACTGTGTTGTCCTCTGTTTATTTCAAATAATGGCTTGCATTTTGTAATCCTGTTGTTGCTATTAATAATTGCAGAAATGTATAGAAGCACTGATTGATAAGCAGTATCTAGAACGAAAGGAAGGCTCCAAGGACGAATACACTTATGTGGCCTAATGATGTGTCATCTGATATTCTGACTAATGTTCAGCAGTAGCTGAACTCTAGAATTTTTTAAAATACAGTTTGAAATACCTGTAAAGTGTAACAAAACAATGTAAGTTTTCTTATTCACTACCTCTCCTATATTACCTTGCTGTATTATACATAGAAGCTGCAATGACAGTTAAGACCGGGTAATGCAGCACTCAATGGAGGAACTTAGCTATTGTCATTCATTTGCTAGAAAATTTCGAATATCTCATCATTATGTTAAATAAATACTAATGTCTTGTGTTATTATATGTTTTATTATATATGACTTCGGTTAACAAACAAAAAATGCAGAGGCTATGTGTTTTGAAGTCCTTTTCAGACAAGCCTTTTGTAGCTGCATTCTCTTCAGTGTTTTTTTTTCTTTAGATTTTATCTTGATTGGGTTGGTTGTATGTAAAAGGGATGAATTATTTACTAGAGATATTTCCCAAGAATAAGTCCAAAAATGGTATGAACTTTACTACCCTGCCAAATGCAAATGCAAAATGCTTTGCACTGATTCCCATCTTTTTCATCAATCCAGACAAAAGTCGCGACATGCAGTTTATAGCAATAGACTGCTGTCCGTCATTCAACCTTTTGTGTACCAGTCAATGCCCACTGAACTGCATGCCAAACTTAACCCCAACCAGAAGTATTTAGGGGAAAAAATATAGAAAAGAAAGTTGTATATGAAGAGATCATACTTCTTGATTGTATTTCATGAACTCTCTACATTTTCCAACACCTCTGCTAGTATACCTCGAGAAAGTAGAGGAACATCAGTTTTATTCCCATTTTGCCTTTTCCTATTTTCCTATTAATTTATAGTTCTATTTCCTGTATAATGTTATTGCTAATTTGCTTATATTTTTTATCAAATCACTGTAATATAAATCTACATATGCTGAGGTTCATAGATTTTTTTGAGTTTTTGCTGAAGTAAATTAAACATAACACAAACACCTCCATCTTCATGAGCAACTTCCTCTAAAAGTCTTGAGCACTCATTATAGGCTCTCAGGTTCTGCCGTCCATCTGGATACTTTTGACGATAATAAAACCTGCCAAGATCTTTGACAGCTGTCTCACAAGATTCTTTGAGCTCTTTTCGTGCAGAATTAGCTTTGCCCTCCAGTGCACTGACTTTTAATTCCAGCATTTCAATGCGTCTTTCTGCAAGCTGGCGGCCATATTCAGGCTCTATCTGTAGGTATTTTTCATGCTTTCTAAGCTCTGACAGAGACATGTGCTTAGCAATCTCAATACACTGTCTACGGAGTTCTGTCATGTTGAATGTATGTGCTATGACAAGGAAATCAATGGCCTGAAATGGTGTCTTCTCCCTACGAAGAAGGTATGACTCACATCGTTCACTTAGTTGTTCCATTTGGTATTCTTGGGCCAATGAAAGAAGATAATAGCAATTTTCTTCAGTTACTTTCTTTGAAGTTGGATAAATAACCAAAAGCATATCTTTTATTTCATTGGATTTCTTGCCATGGAGAGTTATCTCATTTCCAGTCCTGTCAATGTTTGGAGAAGTGAACATCTTTTCAAAAACTGGTGACCACATTGATAGAGTTGACTTATGAACATGGAATCTCTTGTCCTCAACACAAAGAATAACATCGCTCATATGCCAGGGGTCCTCAAAGCTAGGTTCGCTGCCTTTTTTCTGCATTATTTATCTGAGACTGAAAGTACAAATGGAGACATCATGTCTGCAATCTACTGAAATTGTAATATTTCATTTAAAATAATCAGATTATAAATCAGTTAAAGGATAAACCAAAGGTGATAAAAGAAGCGAATATAAGTTACATGTAGCGAGCTCTCAATATGTAAGTAAACATTACCAAGTAAACATTGGTGCCTTTTGATGGCGACGCAAATATTTTACGTGACTGTATGTTTCTAAACATAATTACGAACTAATTTCACTAATTTGCAAGTCTATAAGCGTGATATAGTTTGAGTTATTTTACAAGTATTACTTAGAAACAAGCAAAATAACTTACAGCATGATTAATATGTTACTTATTATTGTTAATAATAAATGTTTTAGCTACAATTGTTACAGAGATGTGCATATTTTATGCRACAATAACTACCTAACGACTCTTAAAACTTAAAAAATGAATATATGAGATTCCTAACTACCTGGCTGAAACTTTCAATGTCAAATTGCTGAACAAACTGACGAGAATTCACGCCCAACTTGGTGAAGATCGTGCAGAATGACCCCATGCACTGAGACGCAAAATTAAATCTGAGCCAGCTGTGTTGGTCAGCGTACCTCTGAAACCGCGCTTTTCAAATGTGTCACCTTCAAGTCGAACTTCAAGTTGATTTTGGTTTCAAAAACAGACTTGTTGCGAAGAGAATTATGGCCTTCTCGATTCACAAAGGATTCATGGTTAGTATATATTTTGAAAACATTATAGACTCTTGATTATAAAGTCAACAGTACTCTTAAAGTTAATATTTGTGTTCTCGACTGTGAACATGATCTAGCATATTTGATTTGATTATATACTATACATATTTGATTTAATTATATACTGAAAACATGTACCTCTAATTAACTCTTTAAAAAAATCAGTTGAAGTAGAAACTGATTTTTAAAAAATGCAGCCTTTCCTTGTCAGTGAAGCGTTTTCGAAATCTTATATTCAGCAAAAATGAGTGTATTCTGCTGTGTAATCTAGAATCTTCATGCTCAAATAAATTGACCTGTACTACTTGTCAATATTACCTGAACTTCCAGAATCAACTAGAAAAACCGAGACGTTCAAGATGATAAATAGTTTTTGACGGGCATCCTGTGGATACTTTGGCACAGGAAACCCAAAACAAAGATCAAACAACAATTGTGCCATTTAAAGCTCTAAAATTAAAGTTTACGAGTTGATATAATTAGCACCTAATATTTATCTATGAWTAACTCATTTTTATAAGGTTTTTGTCATCTTTTGGCGCAGATAAATTAACTTTTAGGTGATGTGAAAAATAACTGAGAGAGCCTGAGTTCTAATGTTTACAAAATGGCGGCACTTTCTAGATTCTGCGAGAGATTTCTTTCTTTACTCGAATTTTCTAGTTAGTTCGGTATCTCCACGATTTGCTGAGTAAGAAAAAATAGAATTGCATTTATATATATTACGTTTTCGTTTATTTTTGGCTGGAAAATTCTCGAACATCTACTTAGAGGTATAAATATGAGGCGAACTGAGGGAACCTCAAATTCACTTTACGCGAAAGACAAGATAAAACTACACAAGAAATTCAAGAAACTACCACAGCTACAGAGAAAATGGGAAAAGCTGTTGGAATTGATCTTGGTACAACGTACTCTTGCGTTGGAGTATTTGAAAATGGCAAAGTAGAAATCATCGCCAACGACCAGGGGAACAGGACGACACCAAGTTACGTTGCATTCAACGATACGGAACGGCTCATCGGAGACGCAGCCAAGAATCAGGTGGCGTTAAACCCTGAAAACACTATCTTTGATGCTAAGAGACTGATAGGTCGAAAGTACGATGATTCAAGCGTACAGTCAGATATCAAGCACTGGCCATTCAAGGTTGTCAATGAAAATAGCAAGCCGAAGCTCCGAGTTGATTACAAAGGAGAGACCAAGAAGTTTACCCCAGAAGAAATCAGCTCTATGGTACTTACAAAGATGAAAGAGACTGCTGAAGCTTACTTGGGAAGTAAAGTCACCAATGCAGTTATTACTGTCCCTGCCTACTTCAATGACTCACAGCGACAGGCAACTAAAGATGCTGGTATCATCGCTGGACTGAACGTCTTGAGAGTCATCAACGAGCCTACTGCTGCTGCTTTGGCTTATGGTTTGGACAAGAAAGGAGAACGGAATGTATTGATCTTCGATCTTGGTGGTGGTACATTTGATGTATCTGTGCTATCCATCGACGAAGGCTCTCTGTTTGAAGTGCTGTCTACAGCTGGTAATACCCATCTTGGTGGCGAAGACTTTGACAACAGACTGGTGAACCATTTCGTGGCTGAGTTCKAAAGAAAACACAAGAAAGACCTCACCACAAACCGTAGAGCACTACGAAGACTGAGGACAGCCTCTGAACGAGCTAAGAGAACACTGTCATCAAGCACAGAAGCGAGCATTGAAGTCGACTCGTTGTTTGAAGGAATCGATTTCTACTCCAAGATCACTCGTGCAAGATTTGAAGAACTGTGTTCTGATTTGTTCCGCTCGTGTCTTGACCCAGTGGAGAAGGCGTTACGCGATGCCAAACTTGGAAAGGCAGACATTCACGAGGTGGTGCTAGTTGGTGGGTCGACGCGAATCCCAAAGATTCAAAAACTGCTGGAAGAGTACTTCAATGGTAAGAAATTAAACAAATCCATCAACCCAGACGAGGCTGTAGCGTATGGTGCAGCGGTACAAGCTGCAATTCTTTCTGGAGACCAAAGCTCTGAAATCAAAGACGTCCTGCTTGTAGACGTGGCTCCACTTTCACTGGGAATTGAAACTGCAGGCGAAGTGATGACCAAATTAATTGAAAGAAACACTCGCATCCCTACCAAGACTTCCAAGACCTTCACAACCTACTCTGACAACCAGCCAGGMGTCAGCATTCAAGTGTTTGAAGGAGAAAGAGCCATGACAAAGGATAACAATCTCCTTGGAAGATTCGAGTTGGATGGAATCCCACCAGCTCCACGTGGCGTCCCGCAGATCGAAGTCACTTTTGATATTGATGCCAACGGCATTTTGAACGTTTCCGCACAAGACAAGAGTACTGGGAAAAAGAATTCCATCACCATCAAGAACGACAAGGGACGATTATCCAAAGAAGACATTGAAAGAATGGTGCAAGATGCCGAGAAGTACAAAAGCCAAGACGATGCACAAAGGGAGAGAGTGGCAGCAAGAAACAGCCTAGAAAACTACGCCTTTAGCCTCAAACAAACAGTAGAAGATGACAAAATCTCAAGCAAGCTTTCCCAAGAAGACAGAGAAACCGTTAAAGGAAAAGTAACGGACGTCATCAACTGGCTAGACAGCAACTCTTTGGCTGAGAAAGAGGAATTCCAAGACAAAGAAAAAGAGCTGCAGAAGGCTTGTTCTACGATCATGGCTAAACTTCATGGTCAAGGCCAGCAGGATGTGCATGGACAGCAGAATACTGGCACAGGTGGACCAACCATTGAAGAAGTTGACTAAATGCCTTCATAAAAGAAGGCCAAGGAACGGAAATACAATGGACATGTAATACGGAACTGTTATAGAAACTAGTTGATTTATTCCTTCTACTGTGTTTTTTAATAGATGGATTTATAGTTATTGTTGAAGAAAGCTGTTCAGATCGGTAGAGAGTTTACATAGTACTCTATTAAATAATTTCTCGTTAGCTTGCTATGACATGTAAACTTATGTAATATTATTGTAGGCTCTACACTGTTTTTTTGTTTMTTTGTTTTTTTGTTTGTTTTTTGTCTAGTACACAATTAGAAACCTTTGAAGTACCTATCAGTCTATTGATTGTTGATTGAAGTTGAGTTTGTAATAAATTATTTGCACTGGAAGGTGTGTGATTGATAAATTAACGATTGAATCGTACCGGATGATAATAACATTTTTCATATCCACGTTTAAATTTCGGTTACCTGTTGTCTCGAAGCTATATTAGGTACCCAGATATAATTATGGATGTAAAAATTGTAATCGTCGAGAGAGACGAGATTACGCGAGAATTCCTGCACAGAGAGGACCAAAAAAAATATCTTATCTCTTACTGTCATTCACCCGAACTTAGCCTGTGTAGCCAGGCGTTCCTAGCCGCTCTGAGAGAGTTTGGGGCGGAGAAACAGGTTTTCTTCTGGGTTTCTCCGGCCCAAACTCTCTCAGAGCTGCTAGGAACGCCTGGCTACGCAGGCTAACCTTTACTTGATCCAATTTACCCTTCGACGTTTGTTTTTATTCAGTGGTGTTTATTCAATCGTGATTTTATTAGTTGATTTCCTATTACCTAACGACTAATTATTGTTATTAGCAGGTTTGAATTATTGGTTATAGAAATCACAGTACATCATCTTTTGAAAGTTTTGTGATGAGGCAGTTATTACTGTAACATTAATATATTATTTACATAATGTTCAAATACTTTTTGTACTAGGTTTTAATTTCTATTTGAAATATTATACAACTAAACTATTCCTTTGTGAAATAACAACAAAAATGAAGTTTTGTGTATAGTTTTCACTCTGATCGCTCCACCCTTTCGCCCGTTTGTCTTACTAATAATTCTAGCGGCTTTTTCATTGGATTACTCTCCAATCCTTTACTCAGACTTCTTGTATCAAATCATGAATATAGTCTTTCCAGTTTATCAATAGTTTCTGACACAATTCTCATCTCTTCGCTCTTGGCACCAGCTTCTCGAATGAAACAAATCTTATTCCCAATGGCGGCATTCATTGGTGGAGGTCTCCCTCCTGCCTGCTTTGAGTATAGTTCACCAAACAGATTACTTATCATTTCTTCACAAATCCCTTCAAGTTTCGACTTAAATCTCACAAGGTCGTGCTCTACTAGTTCAGCTTTAGCTTCCATCACATTCCATCCACATTGCGGTGCCAGTTCGCGATACATCCTGTTTCCACGTAGCTCTTGGAAAGGTTTAATCTTAAGTAGTTGTACGCATGTGCGTCGAAGACCTTCCAGGRCAAACCTATGAGCGATGCTGAGATACTTATAGGCTAAWGTGTCGTTGGCGACTTTAGGAATCAAACTCTCTTCACATCGTTTCAACACTACCATCGTTTTAAACTCATGCGCTAGTGGCAGAAGGAAGTTGATTTTGTACTCCCGTACTGCTTCGCCTGAATACAAAACCTTRAAGAATTCACGAAATTCATCTGCGTTTTTTCCAGCAAGGTAGATTTCTCGATTTGGGAATTTGGCTAGATTGTCGGGATCGAGCATTTGCTCAAAAACGGGCGACAACCTCGACAGGGTGCCCGAGTGAACGTGAAACTTTTGGTTGTTGTCAACAGTCAAGATGGCGTCGGATTTTTTCCATGGCTTTGAGAAGTCAATGTTTGTGGTCGATGGTCGTGCGCTGTAATAAAAACAGATCTTATAAGCTTAATAGTCTTAAATATAACAAAACATAAATATGAAAGAGCAAGAACATAGCTTGTAACATAGTTAATTAACTATGCTTGTATAAGCGAACGGGGCGACAGAGCCATATTTTTCCGAAAAGAAAAATGTGTCGCAGTTTTCTAAGGTATTTGCCTCGGTTTGGCATTTGAGTCTGGCTATAGCAGTTGCATTTTTTGAAAAGGGAAACTACTCATTGAGTATCGCATCAGATCTGTGGAATATTTTATTGTGTTACTTTTAAATAAGGCTTATCCAATTGCGTTACTCAAATTATAATTAAATCGCAAAACACAATTTTGTTGGTTCTTTTGCTAGGATCTTGAATCTTAAATTCAATTATTGCATTGCTAGTTTTGTATACGTCTAATTCCCATTTATTTACTTATTCATCCTTTCTTTCTTACTAAAAGAATTTCGTTTAGTGATATAAAAATCAAATGAATGACCAAATCCGTTACTATAATACTTTAAGCTACTGTAACCTCAAGGTCAGTGTATAATCAGATGCGCTCATAAAAACCTGTTGAGATTCTAACTCTAAATCTTCAAAAGAAAGGAAATTAACAATGAGAAATATAGAAATTACTGTTGTTAATAAATAGCCGTACTTTCAACAATGAYAATTAAGAAGAACCAGTTTGCAAACAGTGCTCCAGATTTCATTCTGAGGTCTACATAAGGTCTGAGTAAATGAGAGGAATTTTTGGCGAAATAATTGTAAAACTAGATAAATACATAAGACGATACAAATACCGTAACATACGCGTGGTATGTTTTAGTAGCTATTGATATGATAAATAATATTTGTCTATCTTACCCAGCCTGCTCGGGTGGCTTTTGAGTCCAAAAAGACGACGCATCTTTAAAGACTTGACCAAAATTCGGCTCTTCTTCCTCTGGRTTCACTTCTTCTTCCACTCTCTCAGCCATCTTTACTTGTTCAAGAACGAGGTAAACAAGACTTCAGATGGTTAAGTTCAGTATCATTCGAGCTGCACAGAGCAGAAAACAGGACCTTATGCTCAAATTGGCAATTCTGAGTTCAGAAACTAGTGCGCATGTGCAACGGAATGGGTGATCATTTGATGATATGATAAAC